GAGTTGTGTTTTGTATATCGCACGTTATTTTTGTTTTCATTCATAAAGAAGGAAATGCTACTAGTCTAACTTCTCCATTTTCTCATCTTTGCAAGATCCTTAAGAACCTGCGTCGCTCGTCGCCCGCGACAACACACACCGTGGAATCGCACCTTAACACATCATTTCATCTTTGGCAATTGTTTAAAGTGAAAAAGTGGTAGAATGAGGTTTATACACGATTAGCTTTCAAATTTGAATCAAAAAATTTAGACCAATTGGGTCTAAATTTAAAATGTATATCGTGTCCATACTTTATTATTTTTAGCCTTATCACACCGGACAGCGTCATAAACATGAACATCAAGCCATTTTAACCCAAATAAACGGTAAATTTAATAGGAAAATTAATAATTTTCGTAGGTATATAAATAAATCTCAAATATTGTAAGCGGAACCGTTTCGTTTAGTTGTTGTTATATTAAAAAAACTTGATGCGTCTGATACAACACGTTTTGATATACAGCACATGCCACGTGCAGTCGTAGCCGGTTGGGAAAGAACGTTTTCGAAGAATCAATTTATTGGCAAAGGCAATCGATACAATAACCTTTATTGTGGAGTAGTGTACCAAGATGGCGCAGTGGTATCTGCGTAATTTTGCAAGGACTCCATCGGAATGACAATGAATTGTTTGGACCTCTTTTGGTGTATTTAGAAATAAATGAAAGCATTATGGCCTGCACAGACGTGGGACCCACAGAACACAGAAAGAGGTTAGAAGGATGATCACAGACAGTCGCCGGCTCGCTCCCACTACATTCCACCTAATAGACCAATCAAACGGTGCAACATCAAACAATCGAACCAATCAGCGCTCACATGCAAGAGCAACGACGCAATCAGAAGCAAGTTTTGGTCAAGTTATGAGCATTTGCTCACACATAATATCTAATAGAACTCATGTGACTAGGCGCAGCAACGCACACAGCTAACTTAAGTCCACGTTGCGCGCTCGATCCGATTTATCGGGATGGGCCCAGTATTATCTTTCAAAAGGTCTTATCCTTGGTCTTAAACTTAATTACAACTATAATAATTTAATAATCTCAGAACATTTTCTTCTCTAAATTTCCGCACAACAAATGTTCGCACGCCGTGTTCTTTGAGTCCGTGCAAGTCCTCGGCGGACGGTTTTCCATGCTTGAGGGGATTTTGTCCTCCACCAACAATAATCCTTCGTCTGCGCAGGCTATTACTTCCGGCACTATAAAACACAAGTCAACATCTACAACAAATCAGTCATAATGATTCGAAAATTAATCAACGTTTACCCCAATTCATCTATGTATATATCCTGAAATAACAAGCTTACAGATTTTCTCCATACGATCAATGTTTTGGCTGTAGTAATGATATTATACTATACCGTTCCATTTTCCTTATGTCTGACATATCTGCCTAAACTTTCGTAATCTTTACTATTAGATACTCTTAGCTCCGTAAACAGAGTTCCCAATTATTTAGTAATGTTCTGTAGTTGTAACATTATTTCGAACTCATATAAATCGTCGTAACAAAATACATATTTAGAGCATGTTCGTTAATATGTTCTCACTATGGAAGACTTAAATTACAAGCGATTTGTTAGTTAATAAAGGAAATTCCTTTAAAGTGTGTAGCAACATTTTGCGGCTTGCGGTATATTTCAAATATTCACACTTCAGTGGATCGGTATTATGAGGAGTATCTACATCGTTGGTATCTACAATAAGTTTAATAATGATAAGACTTCGGGTACTTGCCACGACCTCTCATGTACGTAAACTTTGGAAGTACTCAAGATACTTTAGGATGGGATAATTCCTATTTTAGTCAGCAACACTTCGAGTTACCATTATTTTAATCGATAGTAAGACCCATTCGCGCCTATGTTCTTAAATCAAATTAAAAAGCTAATCATGTTTTAACCTCATTCTCATATCTCTATTTGACTTAAAACAATTGAAAAGTTGGAATGGTGTGTTAAACAGATAAGCCATAATTCCAATTAAGAATTAAGTGGCTCTAAATATTATACAATGAAAATCTTTAAGTGAGTTGAAGAAATTTGACGGTTTTGGATAAATCGACCAGTAGCTGTCTGTTATACAATCTTTGGTTTAAAGAATTTAACTTTTCCGAATAAAAACATACCGCCGCGACGTATTGTATTTGAATTACATTTAACCAAAAAATCTTTGCGTACCGCTTTCTAGTCAAATAGCGCCTCTTCTTTTTGATTTTTTTGTCTGGGAATTCTAGCAATCGTATGTAATATGTCACTCGTTGACGGAAGATTGCCCCAGATTCCCAGGCTAAGCAAACGTTTAGCCAGAGATAGTGGAAATATTTATAAACGCCTTTGGGAAAACTTACTGTTGCATCGTACGTTGATAAGGGATATTTGGGACGCAAGTTATGTTACTTTATGTTGTATAATATCTACTCTTGGATTAAGGTTGGGCATATTAGACTTTCAAAACTCGTGATCGTTAACATACTTTTATGTCACTAAGATTTCACTGGGGGTTTTCTCTTCAATTGTAATATGAATAGAGATTATCTAAGGTCGTTAATATATATATATATACAAGAATTATTTTTCTTATTTCCTTCCAGTGGTGATCTTAGAATCTTGCGATCTTGTTTTGGGTTTTGATTCACGGCCATGTAGAAAGAAATACGCTTATATAATCACTTGACTATTCAAAATTCTTGTCAATTAAAAGATATGGACAAGATTCCAACATTGTAAATGTAAATCCAATCTATTCATTGAAACAGAGAAATATGTTTGCAATAAACAGACTCTGGTGCACTGAGAAAAAAATAAAAATGACAATATTGTATATAAAAAAACAACAGCATCATGGCGCAGGTAAATTCTTTGGTAAGATTAATTAAAGCTCAAATCATGCGTAAATGGAAAGCAACAATAAAACAACATAGAATCACCTTCTCGTGTGATGATGTTGAACCGTTAATGCTCTGTCAACAATAACAACAAAGTGAAATTCGGTGTTAATCTCAAACGACATTATGTAGTAAAATTACATTTAATCCTGTTGAAAGAAAACAGGAAGGGACAAGTACTTTTTGACTATTATCAGGTAGACATTACCTAGATGATTTCATATGGTGAAGAATGTACTGCAAGATATTATTAGATCGTATCTTGATAACATTATTGTTATCAAAGGCCAATGTAAATGATAGCATAATGATTAAATTATATGAAATAGTTGAATTTGCTTTCTTTCCGTCTAACAATATTATTGCTATCATAATGCAATATAAATAATTTGATGATTCTGTGACAGCGTTAGCGTTTATCTACAGTCTGTATCTTTCTGAAGTTAGCTATTAACCTATATAGCAATGTTAATGCAATTTTTTTATTAATCAATGCCTTCTATACTACGTTAGAGTATATACTCTACTCGAGTTTTAAGTTCGCAGTAATAAGTATTCGCGTTCGCAGTGTCATAAACAGGTTAAAGTCAAGTTCAGTTCTATAATATCAGACTTGTTATAAATTTCACAACCACAAGTACTTTTGTGTTCTATGTCTACAAAACTGTAACGCAATTTTACTTTATTGCTCTTTCATGAATCATGTATGGCACGTTACGATCGTTACGAAACTACACGAGTTCAGTTTTCTTTAAAACGGTAATTGAAAATGTCTACTACAATTTATTAGTTCCGTGTTTCCGTTATTGAAGCTATAGCTTCGATCTCACCATGGCCATAGGTATCGTCCTATGCCCAATGGTGTATTCATAACCTGATTTGTATGACAATCGAGTTGTAGATAATGTAAGGCCAGATGCGAATATGGACAGGTGATCGTAGGCGTGTGTTGTTAAAGCAGGTTTAACGCCTTTTAAGCCGTGATGATGTTCTGTTGCCATCTGCTTTGTTTGCAAATTTTATAATGTCTATCGTTTATCGCGCCGTTGCATATTTTCGACTAGAATTTATAGTCAGTGGATGAGTAAAATCTGTTATTTGAAGCTGCGATGATATCATTGGGATATTAAAATGTAAGCATCAAACATTTTAAACCTAGTGAACTATTACACATAAATCAGCGTAGTATTAGCAGAGGTATAAACAGTAATGATATTCTGAATGTTTGTTTTTACCCAGGCCGGTTAGTTGTGCTAATAGTTTTCTTAAAACCCTGTAACTGAATTATATACAATACTTCTAGCAACTTTAACTTGTTTTAATAGAGACATAAACGGATACCGTAAATTCGTTATACGAGATGTCCTTATATTGCTATATTTTATTTCGTAGACTAGTTGTTTGGGTTGAAGAGAAAATGTTTTATCTCCGTTTGTTTGTATTATCATTACTTAAATTAAACTAGAAACTAAAAATATCACAGAATAGCAAAAGTATGATACAAACCTTTACTTTGTAGAAAATATCTTCAAAGTAAGCCTTTTCTAAGTCGGCTTGGCGTTTTAACGCAAGCTTGATTAAAGTTAGTTTCTTCGGAATGAAAAGTTAAAATTTCGAGTTTTCTACTTACTCGGCGTTTTCTATATTGACTTCCAATTGACTCCACAAAAGCAGCAAGAAATTCTCATTTCTCAAATGTTGCTTTTTATAAATATTTTAATGCCAAAAGCTAATAAGGTAGCTATAAGTACTTTCTATTATGGTATGTTTATATTAATTAATTACTTTTTTACTAAAGCCGCATTCGTGTCTTTCTGTACTCCTGAAGGTTGACTGGCAGAGAATGTTTTAGCGTTAAGTCCGCCTTTTGTCCATTTTGTAATAGTGGCAATAAAGTTTAAATAAATAAATAAATATAAGTCTTTATTGACGACCATTTGCTTAGAAGGGTAATGGCCATTCTCCATATTCCGTCCATTGGGAAAGCCTGTGCTCCGGCAGTAGCAACATTAATAATCTGATGATGATTATGCCAGAAATTAAATCCGCTCTCTCTTTGTCCTCAGCTTCTCCCAGAAGGTGGACGAGGAAGAGTCCAGCGGCGGCGTGGCTCTCCATCCACCAGACGCGTTCTACTCGCATCAGCACTCACTGCACAGCCATCATGGGCACCCGGAACCCGACCGGGGGTACATGGACGGCAACAGATACGTCACCGCTGTCCATCGAACTATGCCAGGTTAGTAAAAGACTTGCAACCTTCGACAGGTTCACTCCCACCAGCATTTGCTGCACAGCCACCATAGGCACCCGGAGCCGACCGGGGGTACAAGGAGGGCAAAGAATACGTCACCGCTGGCCATCGACCTATGCCAGGTTCGTGAAGGACTTGCAACTTTCGACGGGTTCTACTCCCACCAGCATTCGCTGCACAGCCACTATAGGCACCCGGAGCCCGACCGGGAGTACATAGACGGCAACAGATACGTCAACGCTGTCCATCGACCTATGCCAGGTTCGTGAAGGATTTGCAACCTATGACGGGATCTATACCACCAGCACTTGCTGCATAGCCACCATAGGCACCCAGAGCCGAATGGGGGTACAAGAAGGGCAAAGAATACGTCACCGCTGACCATCGACCTATGCCAGGTTCGTGAAGATTCTAGCAACTACAACTTGTTTGTAGGACTTGAAGGACTTGCAACCTTTGACAGGTTCTACTTCCATCAGCGCTCGCTACACAGCTACGAATTTTAAGAATATGCAGTTCATGGAGTTCCTGATAAAACTATAATGAAAATATTGGGCTTGAGTTCCACGACGTCTTAGCATTTGTCTCCTCTGGCAACCCGAGCGGGGTAGCTCTGGCAATTTGACCTGGTTAGCTACACCTCACTTCAGGGTATCATTGTAGAAAATTGCATCTTCTATAAGTTGGAAGCATAGAACAATACGTACGCGACACGGAAGGGAGTAGCAAAAGCGATATCTTATTATTCAAATCTAGCATTTTTTGCGGATGGGAATGTGCACACAAGTGCTGTTCTACTAGCATACTTAAAAAAAACTGTTATTACGACGCTAACACATAAACAGTGGCATAATACACCGCCAAAATTTTCACACCTCTTTTTATTTCTTGCGCATGTGTATGACATGCGTTCTTTGATAGAGGTGAAAGCTGCGTATGACTTCCGTTTCCCTCCCCTTCTGGCCGCGTCTGTGTTGCTATAAGGGTGGATGTTACTTCTCCGAACTTTAATATCTATAAGGAGAGAGGAGAGAAGCTCGATGGTGCAGGTGGATAGCGCGTTCGGCCTGCGACCGTGGAAGTTAAGTAACTTTCGCAATGGTCGGTCATAAGATGGGTGACCTTAATGGGTGAAAACTTATTATAAAGAGCTCTTTCGTGCTTCGAAAGGCACGTTAAACCGTTGGTCCCGGCTGCATCTGCAGTCGTTAGCATCTACCAATCCGCACTGGGCCCGCGTGTTGGGTCTCGCCCCAATCTCCCAATTCCATCCGTAGTGAAGGCCTATACCCCAGCAGTGGGGACATTAATAGGCCGATTATGACGATGATTATTTATGTATTTCAGCATTGAACCACTCGAACTCGTCATGCTCCTCAGCCTCGAACGCGTCCACGGGCGCGGGTCTTTGCGCGGTTGCGCAAGAACCTCCCCCACCCCTGTACATCGCCGCGCCACCAGAGGGGTTCGGATTGGCAGTGCATACCAACAGGTCAGTGGAATGCAATAAATACTTTTAGAACACTGGTATCTTTGGCTGTTGTACGTGCACAAAGCTACAATTCTCGTATAGGTAACGTCAAACTTCATGGACAAAACCACAGACAAATATACTTGCCAAGTAGACGTTTTTGTATTTAAATTGCTACTGCGCAGGTTTCCTTGTCTTTGTTTGATGTTGATGCTCAAGCAGTTTGCCGGGGTTTATCCGACACTGTCATAATTCTGCACTCGATTAACTTGGATCTAAATCACATTTTGGTTTACATAAAAACACATCATCAGTGATTTAGTTCACAACGACGAAAATGAAATGTGTAATCAAATAGTAAAAACGTTATTATAAAAACCGGCAACAATTAATTTGTACCGCTAAACAACCTATACAGAAGGAAAAGTATCGCGCGCACATTACCCGAGTTGTAACGCGTAAACTTCGATATTAACATTGGCTCGATCGTAAAGTGGCTTTGTAATAGACCAGTGCGGCAGTAAATCAATTTCCGACTCTCCGACACCCAGTTATGGCACATGAGTAAAGAAATAACATAGGCAAGTCTTCATTTGTGCGTGTGTTAGTGAGCACTGGCACCAAAAAGAAACGTTTCTCCGCGTACGCGCATGCGCCATCACAGACTACAAACTAGATTGATGTAAACGACACATGTATTTCAAATTTTATGAAAACAAAGTTGCACATTTTGAGTAATCACAATAAACAAATAAGGGGTGGAAAAGCATGGGATATGGTCATCTATTTTAATTACATATACCGTTTTTACAGCTTAATATGACATGGTTAGATATTTTTGAAACATAACGATTGAAGTCGAGTATCTGGAACGGTGACACGAGCACATTATGTATAATAATAAAAAAAAAAAATATTTATTGTGTGACGTTATAAGTAACAATAGAAATTCAATAAAATTTCTTATCCTGATAAACTGGTAACTGAAAAAGGTTTTAAAAGAAATCTGTGATACAGGTCGTAAGGTCCTCCCCACCCAGAATAGACAACGTGGAGGAAATGGATTGGAAGTAGTAGATAATTACCAATTACAATCGAGCGGGAAACTCGAAAGATGTAAAACTTACATGACTTAAGAATATTATGTTGAAATATCCAGTAGACATTGATAGATGATGATATTATGCGTAAAAGGATGACCAATGGTCTTCCTTTTGGCACGCAGATCTATTTTAATCTATGTCTGTGGACGCCATGCTCACTTACACGCGCACTGCACGAAGCTTTGCCTCTGTGCCTTCTTAACTCACGTTTGTTATGGTTTACGATCAGACGATGGAAGTGTTTACCCGTAATAAAACATTTGGCGCACACTTAAGGTTAGCACACATTACGGGACCGACGGGCCCAGCGCACCGCATTGCAAAATTACGCAAAACACATTTTTGGAGTCGTAACGAGGCGAGCCGCACCGCAACGCAATACCTAATCTAATCACTCTGCCGTTGGCAGTCCAAAGCAATGGACAGTTTTGACAAATAATTATATTTAATTAATGTTATGTTAACGATAACTTAAAATAGGAAAAGAAAACGTAGTACCTGTAGGTTGAGGAATTAAAAATCGTGTTTCGGGAATTTCACACTATATTATAGAATAAAAAGCTTTTATTTTTCGAAGAAAGATGACATACAAAAAATTTCATTTTTTTTTAACGTTGCGCCTTCCAATGTTCATCGCAACGCGATCTGCCAGTGCATTGCGATGCGGCCCGGTACGACCCGCCTCCAGTGTGCGATAGTTCATATAAAATGTACGAGTACGAAAGTGATTTAAGAAGATTTCTGTTATGAGATGCGTTGCGTAGTGGCCCGCCGTAGTATGCACGAGCCTTAGCTGCACGCCTTCTGAACGCCGAAAACGATTGTTTTTCCACCGTCAATAAATTCAATCTTATATTTATTTACCGCTTTCCTTTGTAAACGAAGTGCCCTGATATTTCCAGGGTTTCTTCTTAATAGGAAGGAACATAAGAACCCGATATTTGCTACAAAAGATTAGAGTTTGATGTACTAAATCAAGTAGACATACGATGTCCTTATTTTTTCTTATTTGTATTCTGCTTGTTTCGCAGTTTGATACATTTTCTGGTACCTTAACCGGAGCTTAAAAGGAAACTTAAAGGTTTTATATCATGGAAAAAAGTTATCTGCCTTCACAAGAAATTATTTTCTGCAATTTAGTCAGGTCAGAATTTGTCATGTACGTGAAAATTTTGTCCGTCTGATTAATTAAAATATCGATGTACGTGTTAGATAACTCACACCTTTGTTGTCATTTTATATGAATAAGATTTAATACCAACTTTGTGTAAAAAATAAAGTTATCGACTTTAAAAAAAATATATTAATATGATGAACTAAGGTATAATCTACTTTTATTTTATTGCCATTGTCACAGGCGCTTTAAACAAAGTAGGTTTAGTGTCATTTTTGTTATATTAATTACTCTTACGTATTTAATTGGTTATGAGTTCGTATTGTTTCCGCTTGTATGATGAATTATTGAATTTGGGACTCAATATTTCCACATTACTGACATTTATTTATTTCTGTTTCTTGTGTACTAAAAGCGAATTGTAACATACTCGCAGGTATAAGTAAGTATTGATTGTTTGTATAAGATAAGTGTATGTTTAATTCCTTTCGTAGGCGTGGTACAGACGTATCCATCATTGGGACTACTGGAATATCGCAAAAAGATTCGAGCTTGCCCCAAAAACGTGGCAAATTGATTAGAGGGTATGTCCCCCACCCAGGAATGCAAGTCTTGTGCGCCCGCAAACCTAGTATAGCAACACTAACTGTCCTATCAAAATTACACTTATCCTTCTTAACTTAAGATTGTCAATCCCTTTGACGCTGTCCCTTTGCTTGAGTTCATAGGTACTATTGACGCAGTAGACAAAATAAGAGCAGTAATACAACTTTACTCTAACTATAATGTCACTTGCAAAGTCAATATCCCAATTAGTATCGCATAACAGAACAAGCCGACTTTGCTTATCATACTTTGTGTATATAGCGTGAAAGTCAGTTAAATAAATATTTTATTTGAATTTTGAAGAAAAGTTTTGGTAGTATTTTGAAGTGTCTATTCGTAAGCCATGAAGCTTAGACAACCAATTTGCAAGGCTTAATTTATATGCGAGATGCTCATTTCCTACTTATTTGTACTGCTTAAACAGAATTATTGTGCAAGTGTGTAAAACACATGTGACAGTTCTAGCTTGAGTGAGTGTGTTACTGTTTCAATTAACATCTACTGTGGTACTGATAAGCATGTTTTTAACATTTTCAATAATAAAACTCTAGGTAGGCACATTATATTTAACCTTTAACTTAAAGTATTGCGTTGGCAACATTAATATGGCTTGTTTGAGTAATGAATGAGAAACATTAAATAAATGACAAAAGTTAATTAATTATCTTTTGTTATTAAATATATTCATTTATGCACGTATTAAGTAATTGTCATTCTTAATGTTTAAAATGATTCTTACTTTGTTGTTTTTCATTAAAAATGATTCGTAATTACTATTGTTTGGTTATTTAAAAATTCATTAATTGTATTGTTACAATTTATATAACAGACATTATTAAGTATTACACCTCTTTAGTGATTTTTCCTTTATCTGACTATTAGTAAATTTTCTGTAGTTAGTCGTCATGACTCGTGTGATTTTTGAAAAATTCTTGGTAGTTTCTAAACTATCATCTTGTTGACACGCCTTTTACATAAAATTTTATTGTCGGTTTACTATTTTTTTAGAATTATAAAGTAATTTTCTATATAATACCTATCTACTACTAGAAATTCTAAGTTTATTTACAATCAATTAATACCAGAATCTCATTGAAACTTTTATAGTATTTTTTTATTCATTAAATGAAATAATAAACTCAAATGTTGATGATGATATCAGATGTTGAATCTTTCTAACATTGCATAATTTCTTATAAGTAACTGTCCGCTCAGTTCATATTGCCTTAAAATTAACATTATGCCCTTATTCCTACCCCATTATAATAAAATTTTAACATTTTAATTTAAAATAGTCTTTTACCATTTTCCTTTACTGATATAAATTTGGAATAACCATCCATTCAGGGGTTTCCATTGAAATGTAGAGCAAATATACCTCTTGCGTTAAAAAATACTACCCTTCTTTACATTGTGCACCCCGATTCTACTTATCGGAGCGGCATGGCAACAAAACTTTATGCTTTGAATTGTTCATATAACTTAAGAGTACGACCATAAGATTTGAATAACAATTATAAACATCGTAGGTACTTGCTGCATTGATTCAAAACTTACGATGTTTATCATGTAAATTTTAATCTTAGACTAGCCCCGATACTAGTGTGGTTCTTTAATCCTCTGAACTTTAATTTCACAGTAGTGTTTCCTTGTTATGCTCTAAACAGAACGAGAAGGAAATACTATAGTTGTCAAATTCCGTTTTTTAGTTTAGAGCATTATGCCAGAATCAGGCCCAATCTTAAGTTATATGGTTGATTTGGCGCATAAAAGTGACTTGCTATGCAGCGAGAACGTATTTGCGCTACCGTTGCGGTGCAATATGTAAACGCCCTAAGGGCGAGGCCACAACACTGCGTTGCGGCGTCGCACCGTAGAAATCTACGACGCCGTACAACGCAACGCATGATTATCTAATGCGCTGCCTTCGGATGCGTCATCGGATCGTATTGCAATGCGACGTCGCAACGCAGTGTTGTGGCCTCGATCCAAGCTTGTTAACACCCTAATAAGCCTAATTATTTATTCAGTCGATGGAGCGTCATTTTTTTTACTGACTTGACCTTTGCAGTCGTTATGAAATGTCACAAGACCTCTTGGACAAGCAAGTGGAGATCCTCGAGAGGCGGTACGGCGGCCTCCGAGCGCGCCGGGCAGCCGTTACCATCCAGAGGGCGTTCAGGAGACGTCAGCTGCTGAAGAAGTTCAGCGCCATCACAGCTATGGCCAAAGCCGCGGACTCGACAGCGAGGAGGATGCAGGATGGCCCCGATCACGTTCAACTAGTCAATGGTGAGTAAAATCCTTTAGGTTTATATCTAGCAGTTATGGCTCTCGTGCATCTTCTAAATCTCGATTTAACTAAAACTAGGATTATACCATCCATAGGGAAGGCCTGTGTACCAGCACTGGGGACATTAATAGGCTTGTGCTGATGGTTTTTTTATTCAAAACTTATACTTGAATATATTGACGACCGATGACCTCCGTGGTCTGAGTGGTATGTACGCAGTTCTTCAAGGTATCTCCTACTCAGAGGTGGTGCAAATGTCTATATGTATGAAGAACACGAGCATTTCATGCATTCCCAACCGTAACACTAGTGTTACAGATAAACGACCCTGTCACGGTTTTGTGTGACGGTCGGAAATGCATACGTACCTATTACTAGATAAATATGTATATTCATTTATGTATCAGTTTATGTATTCTATCCGCTACCCTAGTATTCCATAATATAAGCCTTAAAATGCTTACTTTGGGGCTAGGCTAATTGGCGTAAGTGTTGTCATGTTAAAATAAACATTTATGGCCCAATCTCCCTATTCCACCCACAGGGAATCATGTACCTAGCAGTAGGGACATAGAGAGAGAAGATAGTTGCTCATGTTTTTTAATACATATTCATTCGAATCTTATACTAAGTTATATTTCCAGGTACAGATATATACGCAAATACGTTACTCCAGAAAAGTCCGGCGGGTACGGAGAAGATGCTTGCCTTAACTCGCCCCATGCGGTCCATGTCGCTCAGGGAGCGCCACGATATGGACATGATGTGAGTAGTTCATTCACCGTCCACCTTTAATCTTAGAGTTGAGATTCTTTTAAATCGTAAGCGAGTCGGGCGCTAGAATTTAATATACGCCCCTGGACACCATCAAAAGGTTATATATTGTGGTCTTGTGACGTGGAGGTGACTTCCTCAGGCGGGCTCTCCAATTCGAGTGGTTCTCCACTCTTCTGTACCTCTCTCGTTACCCCAGTAGTGGGAACTAGATATCCGTTGACGTCTGTAAACGTAAAACATTTAAAATTAATAAATTTTGTTCCAGCAACCACCTTCAAGATCAGAGTGAGGTAGAAGCGATGGTCGCAAGAGTTCAGCAATCTGCTCATCAGATACATATGATAGCTTCCGATATGCCGCCCCATCATCGAGGCGACGCCGACAGCGGGGTAAGTTATATTCAAACTTATTTCCTTAGCAATAAGACTGAAAATAGTGAAGACAGTCAACTTTAAAGTATGCCGATAGGAAGTAAGGAATTTAAACCTTATGTTGTAACAAATAAGACAATCCAACAGTCTGCTCATCAGATACACATGATAGCTTCGGACATGCCGCCCCGACCTTAATAATAATGAAATAAGGTTCAACAAATAAATATAATATAGAAATAAGTTTATAGTATGCCTAGTTCAAAGGGAAGTGAGGGATTTTGAACCTTATCTGAGAACAATAAGAGTAAATGTCTAGTAAGGAATTCCACCCAACTTTTCCGCGTTGATGTAAGTGTCAAAGAATAGGGTAGTTTTTGGTGTAGAATGCATGTAAGGTATTCTGGCTGGATATATGGTTCACGTTGGATTATAGCCATGACACTAGTAAATAATAGATTTAAGCTTGCGATGACCCTTATTAGTTGAGAGAAAAATAAATATCAAGAATATTAAGGACATATATTTAAAAGGAAGACTTAAACAAAACAAAATCGTTAACATTTTATAGACCCAAGAATTTCGTAAATGAAAGGTTGCGAAAATGTATACGCTTCACAGCTAAGGCCGTTGACGTCAACAAGGAATGCGAATTACAAGATAATTATCACATGCAAGCGAAAACTTGTAGATAACAATACCTATCTATAACCATCAGTTAACGTTATGATATCGACCAGTTTACACGGCGGGTGCAAATTAATATACGTGCAAAAATAAGTCATGTTGCTTCAAAACTTTGGGGATAGTGAAGATTTGGTGTTCCAAAGAGTTTTAAATGAAAGAGGTGTGTTATCGAAAAGATTGCGACGGAAAAGACTGTGGCCGTATTTCGGCAGGAGAATGGTGACGTATCAAGTAAGTTTTCGGGAATTTAAGTGTTCGTATTATAATTATTGAAAATATTATATTTTACCATCTAAGCTTGAGTTGCACTAACTTTAAAGTTAAAGTAACCGTTACGGTTACGTAAAAATGGGTTACAGCATTGACGATATTCAAAGTGAAGTCATAATTTGACAGTGACAATAACTGTCCAAGCGAGACCGCTTACAGTTATAGTAAAATTTAACTTTATCTGGCTCTGTGGTGCAACTTACTCTTGGGAATGTTATAAAAATATGGCGATAGTCTTTATGACTACATAATGTTTGGTGGAATAAGTATTTTCATAAAGAATGTTATTGAATGAATTTTATTTATCGTACATCTTAATTATTTGTTGATAAAATAAAATCTTTAATCCGGAACTTATGCGGTGTAAATATTGAACGAATTAGATACAACGATCTTATCACGCGAATTGTTTCATTATCTTTCGTTTTGTCGTTATTTTTTTCCTTAATTTGTTGGCAAGAAAATTTGTATAGGAAACCTTTCTCCAGTTTCAAATTATTAGTTCAGTTAGTCGCTGTCTACTGGTTTTTGACAGCTATTGGACGCCCAGGTGGTTCGCTTCGTTTTGATGACTAGGTCGATTGTTAGTTTTTCTTATATACAAGCAGACCCGTCTTTCCCAGTGGGCACTTTGGGCAAGTGCCCAGGGCTCCGCGATCGATAGGGGGCCCCCTCAGATCAAATACAAAGTCCCTAGTTCCTGTTTAATCTCTAAACGGAAGTCATAGGGGCCCTATTATCCTAATACTAGCAAACCAGTGAACCAAATGTTCACCAAAAAAAAATGTATTTAATTAATTGAGAACTTCGGAGATTTTGTGTGGTTTCGTTTGAAATAGAAATCACGTGATTTCTCGAAAACCGGAAGTGCTACGTTACTCAAATCCGGTTTGTAGTCTTATCAGACTATTCTTAACTTATAACTTAAACATTCTCTTTATCTATCTCTTACGGTTTGGCCGCTGAAACAGCACCACGGACGGACGGACTTGTCTAATAGATAAGAGATGCCCAGGGCCTCCAATAGGTCAAAGACGGCACTGTATACAAGGCCCAAAAAGTTAGTCCTCTTTAGCTAAAATCACTCGACATTTTAAAGCCTGTTGAAGACGACTCATTTTAATCACTTAGCTGGGTCTTGATCAGCTTGTTACTTATCTGCTATCCTTTTTACATAAAAGTGCCCTCACTGTGTGATCAATTTAGTAATAAATTTCAATGTTGCCTTGAGTCTAGTTCAGTGCTAAACTCTTATTACCCCTTTATTAAAAAACAAGGAATAAGCTTAGACTACGTACGCCGTGTTTTGTTCATGTCACTCAAAACATGGAGTAACTTACCCAAGCTTTGTCTTCGTTTAATAATGAAGGGGACAACGTTTCTGAATTTCACGAAATATGGTGATTTAGATTAAAAATACGTGCAATATCATGTTTTAAACTCTCATGGTCACTACCATCACAGTAATATCTATACATATAATAAAATGGTAGGAAAGTCAAAACTGTACATTGAATATTTTTTTAAAAGAATTGTTGTGGTGTAATCTACAATCGGCACTGAAGTCAAAAATATAGTTGTTAGAATTTTTGTCTGTTTGTCTGTATGTATGTCCGGGATATACTCAAAAAGTACTGCATGGATTAACTTCAAATTTGGCACGAATATTATTAAGAAGTCGACTTCTTAATAATATTCGTGCCCGACATATAGGCTACATATTATCACGGGGAACGAGCGGTGAATAGTATGTGCAAAAAACTAACTCCACTCGTACGAAGTCGCGGGCGGCCGCTAGTATGTTATAAATTTACGGAATTGCTACCATGCTCCTTGTTTTAAGTGAGTCGCCGATATTTCTGGAAACTACGGCGGCTAAGCACGGGGCTTGCAATCACAGATCAGAAAGAGGTTATAAGGGTGATCATAGACCATTTATACGGGATCCGATGTCGCCGGCTCGCCCACACTACACTTCCACCTAAAAGATAATAACCAATCAATCGACGCGACATCAAACAATCCAACCAATCAGCGCTCACACCCGAGAGCAATGACGCAATCAGGACCAAGTTTTGGTCAAGTTATGAGCATTTGCTCATATATTACTGTGGCGCGCCTGCCCCGCCTACAAGGCCCTCTAAACTCTTACTGTGTTCTGTGCTTGCAACGGTGCTGAAATATCGGGGACTTGCTAAAAACAAGGTACATAGTAGCTATCCCGTATATAACATAAATTACGATAGTGCAATATAATGTTCTTCGGTGTTAATTTTATTATGAACTTTTTACAAATACATATTGTTACACAAAGACACAGTAGCCTTAAACGTAATATTAATTGGACTACCCCGACGACGAAATCACCCGCGCCAACGCGCCTCCGATTCCTCCCACACAGGTCACAAACACGAACACTACACAGCTAGCAAACGTGCATACTAGCTAAGCATTAGGCAGACACCGCACCCGTAGGATATGAGTGCGAAGACCCGGTCTACACTCGACACGCTATACCAGGTACCTGGGCGTTTTTCCCCGTCCCCCACGACAACGGCTAACTAGAGCCGAGGTCCGAGTCTTAGAGACGACCTCTAGTTGAGCCGACTCCCTCAGGTTCGAATGGTGTAGAGGCTACAGACGGAGAGGGACTCCCCCCGTAGGGAGACGCCATCCCCTGGAATACCTAGAGGCACTCGCCAATTCTCGGCTTGAGGTCCCCTTAAGATCTCGCCGTCCCCAAACCCGGTGACGCTGTAAAGGTCATCTGCGACGAACAGCATACACACTCTAAAAAAAAAAACAAAAGCAACACAATTGGTTCCGGCTAAGAGTTGAAAATAAATTACTAAAATATTTCTGATTCTCGTCTATGATGATATCATTGTTATTATTTCCCTATTCTTAAGAAAACATTTCTCGTAGGTACTGTCATACCATTATATGAGTTTGAATATTTTATACAAACATGCCTGTGTAAATATGAAATTTACGTCAAGCGATATTTCGCTTTAATGCTAATAGAATAACGTCGTTTGTTGCAGGTGTGCAGTTGCTCAGTGAGTGGTTCCGTTACCAACATATCAACGTCCTCGTCGCACAATGAATCTCTACACAACCACCAATTGTTGAATAATACAGGTTTGTAATCAGTTACAGAAGTTCGAGCAAGCATTATGGAAGGTAGCACCTGTGACCGACAAAAACCAATGATAGACATTCCCTTCCGTGAAAAATGAAAACACGCCCTACAGACGCTCGGTGTTATCACACACAGCGACGGGTCACCCACTCTTATTTTCATTGATCTCAGGAAATAATGTATATCACTGGCTCCTGGCGGTCATTGGTGCCACTACCTTAAAAATCTAAATTTATTACGATGTCTACAAAAGAGATGTCTTTTAGCAATCATCATTTGAAAAATCTATATTTCTTTCATTCTTTTATATACAGTTCTAATCTATTTTGGGACGCCCTATTATGGGACTTCATTTGTTTATTTGTTTTTTTAATAGTGAACAGAGTTTTATTATTTGAATTGTTAAATTGAAAAGATTTGTAATAAGTTATGTTCAAGCTAAAAATCCACATCTCATCAAAATAATCTCTATGATAGAACTCAGGTCATACAAGCCATAGCTTGTATTACAGAATCAGAACTAAGTCTGTATCACAGGGATGTCTTTATGAGCAGCACATAGCGACATCCCTTTCTAATTGTAAGTAAAGATCAACGCTTAGTTGTCATTGTGTAATACGAGCATTAATCTTTTTCTTTTAAAATTTAAACACTGGTGTTATATGACTTAACGACCATAGTTTCGGCAGAGATATGCCTCAAACTAAATTGCGGCTAAGTGACATGTGGTCAATTTTTTAATCTTAAATTGCATCCTATACAGGTTATAATTCTTAATCGACCTGTCTTTAACAAGTATTCGTATCTTTTATAATTGAAATCGCAAAATCCGTCATGTGATGAATGGTTATAAAATAGAAATGATTTAAAGTTTACGCGCCGTTTTTGGCCATATCTCAAAACTTGTTCTTGTCATTTAGCCGCGTTTTAGCTTGAGGGCGGCAGTATGACAGTTCTTACATACAGTAGCACTTCGAATATAGCTCTTATCACTACGTAATTATGGCACTGTCAATGTTAAATTACATCCACTATCATAGTCTTGACTTTAGCGAAATTTTAACGATCAGTCTATGTTCCATTATTTATCTGTTGTGCGCACTTCACTTGGCTGTTCGTGTTTGCTATTTGTAAACTTGACATCAGTCTGTCCTTTTCGTTCCTTATAAAGCACGATAAGGACAGACTGTTGCCAACTTTACAAATAGCAAACACGAATAGCCAAGTGAAGTGTGGGTATTTTGTGATATGTTTTGATTTCGCCCTTGATCCCTTATTTGTTCCATTTTGAAAGCCTTTGAGTCTATTTAGGTAACTCTATTCCTAAGTAACTTAAACCCTTTTAAAGTATCTACTAAATACTTGATTTTCTACTCTTATTAAGGTTGTTATTTAACAATTTCAGGTCCTATTTACGGGAACCTGTTATCTTCCGGTGGGAAGCCCTTATCGTCGCCTACTGCTCGACAACAGCAACAACTAGCCGCGATACAAGCTGCCAATGCGCGTCGTTTACCGCCCGAAGTGCCAAAGAGAACTAGCAGTATCACGCTCAAGTACGTTGCAATTTGGACTCTATTGTCATGTAATAAAGTTCTTTTTCAACTATCGTTCGAAATCAGCAAAAACTAGCCGTGGTAAAAGCAGCCAATGCGCGTCGTTTACCGCCTGAAGTGCTAAAGAGAGCTAGCAGTATGACTCACAAGTATGTTGCGATTTTGGACTCTGTAATCATGTAATAAAGCTCTTTTTCAACTATCGTTCGACGTTAGTAACAACTAGTCGCAGTACAAGCAGCCAATGCGCGTCGCTTACCGCCTTAGGTGCCAAAGAGTAAGTAAAAGTATTACGCTCAAGTATGTTGCGATTTTGAACTTTATTGTATTGCATCAAGGTTCTTATAAACATTGCTTGCGTTCGACATCAGAGTAGCAACTAGTCGAAGAACTAGAACTCAACTGAATTGACTAAGAAGGGAAGTAATACCATACTCAATTATGTTGTGATTTTGAACTCTTCTTCTCTTCCTAAGGTGTCTACATACAAGCTATGTATCACTGCATATTCCACTGAAATTCTTTAGAAAAATAAGAAACAGACATTGTTTCGTTGCCTTTGATCAAGTGATCGACGTACATGTACTCATCCACTTTGTAATATAATAAATTTAGAAAAAAGAAAATTGAACATTTATTTATCTTGGTGGCCAAGTGTCGCCTACTCGTGAAGTCTCGGGTACTAATCCCGGTAGGGCAAATGTTAGTACGATGAATAAGAGCATTTGTACCTAAGCTAAGTATGTTTATATGTATTTCTACATAACATATACTTATACACACATCAAAAGTGTCTAGGGATCAAGCATTTTTATGCGGATTTCTTGAGATTGAGATGTGGCTTTGTAATAAATTTATGATTTTATAAATTTATATGGATCCTTTTTGGTGCATTTCATAATTTGAATCAGGAACTGTGAATCAAATTCGAGTAAAAGATGAAAATCAGCTGTCAATATTTTCCCTATAAAAACATACAACGCATTGAAGACATTATTAGTGCTACTGTTTCCCTACTACTGATTAAAACCAACGTTATTATGGAGCGGCGACGTCATTTAAGCAGGGAAGAAATGCTCAGAGCCGTGGGAATGATAGAAGCTGGTTCCCGGCAACGTACTGTGGCTTTAGCTCTGAATACAAGTCAGAGTGTTATCAGTCGACTTTGGACACGATACCGAAGCACTGGTACCGTGGCTGAGCGCCATGGAGGACGGTATCGCTGCACCACACGGAGACAAGACCGATACATTCAAATCTTAACTCGAAGAGCTCCAACAATAACCACCATGATGTTAGCCGTGAGGCTTCATCACTCTTCAGGGAACTTAATTAGCGACCAAACAGTCAGAAACCGCTTGCATGAAGTGAACCTTCATTCCCGAAGACCGCTACGGGTACCACCTATAGCAATGCACAATCGTAGGATTCGATATCAATGGGCTCTTGAACACAGAAATTGGGCAGAAGAACAATGGCGTTTCGTGTGCTTTTCTGATGAGTCTCGTTTTGGTATGAGACCGGATACAAGACGTATACGACACTGGAGAACCCCTGGACGCCAACAGCGATTAAAATCCTGCCAGGAAGTCCATCCTTATAGTGGTGGAACCATCATGGTATGGGCGGGTATTTGGATCGGCGGAAGAACTGAGTTGATTTGGATCAGAGGCAACCTCAACGCTCAAATTTATGCTGAGACGATTGTATCAGACGTCATCGTTCCTCTACAAGTGCAAATCGGTCCCTTATTTCAGTTAATGCATGATAATGCACGACCGCACACCGCAAGAGTTGTAAGACAGACTCTCGCCGCAGCTAACATCAATGTCCTGCCCTGGCCTGCTCAGTCGCCAGACTTGAACCCGATTGAGCATGCATGGGATATGCTACAGAGAAAAGCTCTGCCGAATATGGAGGGTATCCAGTCGCAAGAAGACCTTTTTTTGTTGTTGCAACGAACATGGGCGGCCATTCCACAGCGTGATTTGGATGAACTCATTTTGAGTATGCCAAACCGATGTTCTTGTGTTGTTAGTGTTCTCGGTAGAAATACGGATTATTAATTGTTTAAGTTACCCAATAAAATTTTAGAGAAAACTGTTATTTCAGTCTTTTTTTCGAACTTTTGTGTTAGTGGTTCAAATGTCAAAAATCCCTTTATTAGGAAAATGGCAAATTTCTTTATTAATGCAAAGGTGACTTGGTTTATCGTTACTGTGACAAACGAAAACACTTTATTTGATGAATCCTTAAAGAAAATTTTAATTAATATCAATCAGGAGAAAAGTTATTGCAAAAATATATGTTGATCCCTAGACACTTTTGATGTGTGTATATATGTATCAGTATAAGTGTCACCGGCAATCTGTGTAATTCAGTAGTTCTGTATAATACCTAGGCAATGTATAGAACGCCTGGGGGGTCTAGGCTAGTATGTAATATTATAAATATTTTTATATTCTGTCTAGGTAATGTGTACAATTCCTAGGGATTGTATAGAGTACCTGCTGACCCACAGGCATTGTGTAAAATAAACAGATTTGGCCTGTATATATCCTAATTAAAGTTAACTTAGACCAAAAAGTTAGATATAAAATGACGGAGGGATTTTATAATTATCACCGAATGAAATACAGGCTAATAAAAGTTTGATCAGATCACAGATGAAGTTAATGTTCTGACCAAAACTTAGCGCGAACCGAGCGAGCAAAGCGAGCGTGCAGCAGCAGCAGCCGACGAAGCGCCAGCCACCTGATAGTAAAGTCGACTCACTATATTCTTTTACACACATTGCAGTATACAAATTCGACATTGTATAAAATACCTAGGCAAACCATAAAAAACCATAAAATTAATTAAATTTCATACATTGCCTTTACGTTTTTGGCATTCTATGCATTGCCTAGGTATTGTAGAGAATACCAGATTAGGCAAATTCTATCCGTTACACTAGTTTCCAATAATAAAAGCCTTTCAGTGCTTACTTTGAGGCTGGGCTAATTGGCGTGAATATTGGAAATATTTATTTATTTACCCGAACTTCAAATATGTTTGTCTTTTGAACACATCAATCTTCAATGATAACCAAAACCAACCCTTATTACACAGTGCGGAGAGTCCAGTTTCGCTCCGTCGCGCGGAATGCGGCGGCGCTGTAGTGCGGGGCGGGTCGATGTCCTCCGTGCAATCGTCATCGTCTTCGTCATCGCAAGAGCATCGCCATCACTATCATCAGCCTTACCAACCTAGGGCACCGGTAAGATCATTGTCTCCTACACGAATGTTACTTTTTTCATTTCAGCAAAATTTTGTTAATAATAATAAAAACCCTGTCAAAAATATTCAATTACTTTAAAAGTTTATTTATTTCACGCAACAGAAGCTCTCAAAGGGAATTATTATTTCATCATAACCTAAAAATTTAAAGGTGAAGTCATTTACTGTGCTTTATTACACAAAATAGACATCTGTCAATTTGACGGGTAAAGTCAGGTTACGCCTTTAATGTTCGGCTTATTAGCAGCAGATTATGCAGACTACTTAGGAATTGTTTTACAATTGCTAATCAACGTATTGGTATGTAATTTGATGTGTGGTCATGAAGTTTTGTAAATATCTAAACCTTGCTTTGTGTAAACCTTTGAATGATTACTTGATCCATAATCGGCATGAAACAAACACCACCACTTTTTTAGACAGTTACATGGAAAGCTTAATATTTTTGCCATCAAAAGGGTAAAATTGTATAATAACAAAATATCGAATAGTTTGATCGGGAACATTTGTAAATTTCAGATACTACCAGTATCAGTTTCTATAATTTAATAAGCTCTTTACATAAAACAGGGACTTGCGAAAACAAATAATTTACGAATAAAGACTGAGCATTAAATTGTTAGTAGTTGGGTAGAAATTATTATTTGGGATCACTAGCGTACTGTCTCAACCAACGATATAGCGTTCGATTCAAGCTTAATGGCGGCAGCGAAGTTTGTGCAATCCGCAGCGCAGTTAACGAAATCTACAAGTTCTAGTTGCGCGCGGGGTTTAACTGAATTTAACCTGAGCATAGTTGCGCTCGTTACTAACTTAACAACCGTCATTAATAAGTCTAAAGATATTTTTTTTCTCATAAAAACGGTACAGGTATCAGACTGGATTCGTACTTGTGCTTTCTGCAATCTGGGCGGACGCACTAGAATTGATTGCGGAAGGAGCAAGGCGAAGGCTGGATCGATTAGAATTATTTAGAGTTAAATTTTGGGTAGATTTCTAAATGTAGCAATTTATAGCCTTGCACTGATGCCCCCGTGGTGGGTCACGGCTCAATCTCCCTATTATATCAATAGGGGAGGCCTGTGCCCCTGCAGTGGTTACATTAATTAGCTGATGATGACCATGAATAGGTTAGCAATCGTAATAAAGTTATAATCGCACTATACCTTTTTAAGTCCAACTGAATGAACCAACCTTTTCCTCCCCAATAGGAACCGCACGTCCACATCCCAGAGCAGCACTACCAAGCCCACCAGCGGGCCGCGTCCGGCCCCGCGCTATACGAGCCGGCCGGCAACAACTACTCCGTGTGGAAGCGGCAGGACGCGCCCCCCTACTACGACGCCCCGCCCCCGCCCCCCGCCGCCTGCTGCCGCCCACAGCCCCACCACCCGCCGCTCAAGGTGACGTCACCGTCCACAGCCCACCAGCCGCGCTATACGAGCCGGCCGGCAACAACTACTCCGTGTGGAAGCGGCAGGACGCGCCCCCCTACTACGACGCCCCGCCCCCGCCCCCCGCCGCCTGCTGCCGCCCACAGCCCCACCACCCGCCGCTCAAGGTGACGTCACCGTCCACAGCCCACCAGCCGCGCTATACGAGCCGGCTGGCAATAACTGCTCCGTGTAGCGCGGCAGGACGCGCCCCCCTACGACACGCATCCTCACCCGATGCTCAAAGTGACGTCACCATTGTCTTAAGGTGATGTCCGATAATGTTTGTTGTCGCGGGCGAGGCCGCGCCGCGCAGGTTTGCCAAACGCATGACAACTCTAATGTTTGAGATTTAAGAGTATCTGTACATGATACAAGGTACAAGTCTCGTACAGATATGAGATTTGAACAATGTTGACTGTTCGTATCATATACACAATCCAAAAATATTATCAGTAAGTAAATAAATGTTCACTCCACAAAGGATCGTCTCAGTAAGTACAGATTCGTTATGCCATCACTAAATTCATCCTTATTTGTATCATCTCGAACGATAGAGTTCTGTTACGTTTGGCAACCCTGCGCGGCGCGGCCTCGCCTATGTCAACGGCGATCGCCGAAGAGCACCTTTATATAGGCGGCTGGCACCAATTCCTGTCACCTGCACCAAAAATCTTGCATCCATCTTCTTAGAGTGATCTTCATTTGACTGTTGGACCGCCAGCTAGCCGTTCGAAAATCTTTCTCAAGGAATACATCCCGAAAAACTTCTTGATCATAAAACATGGTGCATGGAATCTTCGTAGTAGCCCTTTTATAACTGCGGCGTCCGCCACCACTACGGTCTGCGACTACTGCTACTCAAGGTAATTGACTGTTAGCCACTGTCAGCCTGCTATGGCATCTACCATGTGCCTGCTGCTGCAGCACTCTACAAGAAATCTTCTCTTAGTGTGTTCGTAAGATATTAAAGAATGTTGTCCCTTCGTATACAAACATTAGCATTCTCCAAAGTAACTGTGACACTGACCTGTTATCTTATCTGCAACTACTGCTCCAGCGTTTGCTTTAATAAAACAAACTAAATCATCCTTCTTTTTTTCAGGTGTCCGAAACGGTCCGCAAGCGGCAATACCGCGTTGGCTTAAACTTATTCAACAAGAAGCCAGAACGTGGCATAGCGTACCTGATAGCTCGAGGGTTCCTGGAGAACTCCCCTAGAGGGGTTGCACGGTTTCTCATCACCAGGAAGGGGCTGAGCAAGCAGATGATCGGAGAATACCTGGGCAACCTGCAGAACCCGTTCAATATGGCCGTGCTAGAGTGAGTTTAACTTTATATCTTACTAACTTCTTCCATCGCGACTTTTTTTAGTCCGAGGGTTCCTGGAGAATGCCCCTAGAGCGGTGGCAAGGTTCCTCATTACCAGGACGAGGCTGAGCAAGCAGATGATCGGAGAATACCTGGGCAACCTGCAGAACCCATTCAATATGGCCGTGCTAGAGTAAGTATCGCAGGATATATAGCTCGAGGGTTCCTGGACAACTCCCCTGGAGGGTAGGCACGGTTCCTCATCACTAGTAAGGGGCTGAGCAAGCAGATGATCCGAGAATACCTGGGCATCCTGCAGAACCCATTCAATATGGCCGTGCTAGAGTAAGTATCGCAGTATATATTGCTCAAGGGTTCCTGGAGAACTCTCCTAGAGAGGTGGCACGGTTCCTCATCACTAGTAAGGGTCTGAGCAAGCAGATGATCGGAGAATACCTGGGCAACCTGCAGAACCCGTTCAATATGGCCGTGCTAGAGTAAGTATCTCAATGTATATATAGCTCGAGGGTTCCTGGAGAACTCCTCTAGGGGGGTGACGCGGTTCCTCATCACCAGGAAAGGGGCTGAGCAAACAGATGATCGGAGAATACCTGGGCAACCTGCAGAAGCCGTTTAAGAGGGCCGTGCTAGAGTGAGTTAATGTTTATATCTCACTAACTTCTTCATCCGTGACATTATAGTGTAGTTAATTTTTGAGTGTGTGTGTGTGTGTGCGTGCGTGCGTGCGTGCCTGTCTGTCTGTCTGTCTGTCTCTCTCTCTCTCTCTCTCTCTCTCTCTCTCTCTCTCTCTCTCTCTCTGTGTGTGTGTGTGTGTGAGCGAGCGTGCATGCGTGCGTGCGTGCGTGCGTGCGTGCGTGTGTGTTTGCGTGATTCATAAATATGCAAACATACAAGTATCACTTTTATGATATTGGTAGTACGTTTTCTCAGCTCGCCTATCATTCAATAAAACACTCCGTGACCAAATTAAGTGCGGTTTGTTTGATTTTACATTTTATTCTTCACGTTTCGGTTTTTCATAGGCTTTTCAGTCATGCGACCACAGAGACCTGTAACGTCCACAATAATGTAAAATTAAATAAATCCCGCTTTATTTACTTTACTTACTATTTGTTTACCAATAGCTTAAATCTTCCAAATAAAAATTGAGTCATTTACCATTTTTTAAAAGTGTTGATTTCGTTCCAGATGCTTTGTCAACGAGCTGGACCTTTCCGGAATGGCGGTAGACGTGGCCCTGCGTAGATACCAAGCTCACTTCCGATTACCGGGCGAGGCTCAGAAGATAGAACGATTAGTGGAAGCGTTCGCGAGACGATACTGCGTGTGCAACACGGATTTCGTGCAGCGTTTACGTACTCAAGACACGGTGAGTCTGGAATGAGACCGTTAGGAAAATTTACACCACCAGCTGGCGCCACTCTTAAATAAGATCTTTTGTATAGAGTTTTTGGCGCAAATTATCGAACGAGCATTTAAATTGATCTATAGACTATGAGGACATTGGTGATTTGACGGACGAGGAGACTTTTCGTCTCAGTGCTGCCACCTGGGGCCCGTCATTCTAGAAAACCCTTATTAGAACACTGTTACATCTTATACTCCATTATCATCAGCAACCTAATTATGTCCTGTTAATTAATAATATAACATACTTATATGTTCGTTATATGTCCGTGCCTTAGCACGGACCTTGCCTATAAGACCTATAGGCGGAATAGGAAGGTTGGACTTGGTTTTGGTGGTTTGCTATCAACTATAGATGCAGTTGGAACCATTTAAACGTGCCTTCCGTACCATCGAGGAGGTCAAGATAATATTTTTTTGTTCACCTATCCTAAGGCAAGCCATTGCGAAAGTTACTCAACTGCCACTTTCGCAGTCTGAACGCGCTAAATACTTGTGTCTCGTATCATCAGCCTATTAATGTCCCCACTGGCTGGGGCACAGGCATTCCATATGTATGGATTAGTGAGGTAGGACCGTAACCCAATACGGATTAGTGGGCGCTAACGACTGAAGATGCAGCCGCTACCATCGGCTTAACGTGCCTTTCGAAGCACGGAGGAGCTCGAGATAATAAGTTTTCGGTCACCCATCCAATGACCGGCCATTATGAAAGTTGCTTAACTTCCACGACGAACTTACCACCTGGTTGGTTTATATCACTATTTCTCATCATATTCTCCTATTTCAGATATTCGTGTTAGCGTTCGCGATAATAATGCTGAACACAGACCTACACACACCGAACTTGAAGCCCGAAGCCCGAATGTCACTAGACGATTTCGTACGAAACTTGCGAGGCATAGACGACTGCGGCGACATCGACCGAGACATGCTGGCCGGCATCTACGACCGAGTTAAATCGAGCGAATTCCGTCCGGGAAGCGACCATGTTACCCAGGTAATAAGACTGTTATTTCTGTAGAAAAAGATGACCACGATAAAGTTGTATTCAAAACATGACAGGTACAAAGTGAAATCCAGTAATTTGAGATTTGAAAGTGTTAATATCACGTTTTTATTGATAAGCTCTTATTGCTGTAGTAACAGAAGCTAGTATATGACTTCTCACGAACTCGTTGATGTAGAGACCAATATCGGGATCAAGTGAGGTCACATTTCTAATTGATTAGATCACACTTAACCAAGTCCTGAACCTTTTCAAATTGCCATCAATGGGCCTGATTCGGGCATAATTCTCTAAACCTAAAACCAAATTTGACCAGAGTAAATATAAACCAATCGTTCTCTGGAGATAAGCTTTAAATTCATAATCTAATTAATTTTCGAAATTATGTCTACTGACAGCTTAGTCCTTAATAATTATTATGTTTACTGAAATCATCTTTTTAGTCGTGCGTTCATTTGCGTGGAATTTTAGTTAAAAATAATCACCTATTGCAGTTTCATTTAATAGTAGTCACTCTATTCACACTAAGTAATCACACTAATATTATAAAGGCGAAAATTTGTCTGCGAGTGTGTATGTTTGTTACTTCTTCACATCTAAATGGCTGGAGCGATTTTAATAAAATTTGGTATGGAGTTAGCTGACACCCTGGATTAACTCATAGGCTACGTTTTACTGCGGGAAAATATCACTAATAAACCGCAGGGCACAGCTAGTTAATAATATAATAACCAAACTTTCTTTAGGTGATGAAAGTGCAAGCTACGATAGTAGGCAAGAAGCCGCACCTAGCCCTCCCGCATCGGCGACTAGTCTGCTACTGCAGATTGTACGAAATACCTGATATACACAAGAAAGAACGCCCTGGAGTACATCAGAGGGAGGTTAGTATCCTGCTCGAAGGACCATAATGATAGACTTAGTTATTAATGAAATTTTACAAATATGCCACAAATGTTTTCATGCATCTTTAGAATGTCGCATTACATTTTAAATTGTTATTAAAAATTCAAATCTTTTCACCAAGAAGTTGGTTCAGTGATAGAAAGCTCGCCTGCTGCGAACGAGGCCCATCTTGCTCATACCCTTTTCAAATCTCGGATTAAATTCATCTGCCAAATTGAAACTCAATGAAAATAAATATCATCTGAACTACCAAAACTAACTTGAATATTAAAACCCTTTCAATGTGCCCTTAAAATATCATCATAGGCACGTAAGTTTTCTCTAGTGATCGAAATATGCTTCTACTCATCTCCATACGATTAAATTATCATCAAAACGTCTTCACTTTGACACAGGTGTTCCTTTTCAACGACCTGCTGGTGATAACGAAGATCTTCAGCAAAAAGAAATCATCAGTTACCTACACTTTCCGTCAGTCGTTCCCATTGTGTGGGATGAGTGTCAACTTGTTCTCTGTACCACGTGAGTATGAAATAAAGAAATGTAAATATTTAGTTAACAAACAGACATTAACGTACAGAAAGTCGCAGGTCAAGTTACCTAAAACTGACACATTTATCCTAGTAACTGAGTTTTATATAGCAATACATACAATTCACAATCTATTGAGAAATAAGAAGATTTTGTCAGTTAGTGGTAACTCGCTGTGTAGTCGTTTGTACCCACCAGAGCGCCGACCAATACCATGTACAATACTATACCAATAGCACCATAACAGTTTTTTGGCCAGTTCTTATTCCGTTCATAGTTCCATATGAACAGCAGTTAGAAGCAGTGTAGTTTTTTTTATAGCCAGGTAGGCAAATGACTCTATCCCACCTGACGCGAAGATAGCTGGTATCGTTTGTCTTTAGATGTTACATCAAAAGGAGTAAAACGCTTTTATTTTTTTTATAATATAGTCTAAAAAATATCTTTTAGAGTATCTTATTAGGAGTCAGACTAAATGTCTTACGGTAATATTTTATAGTAATATTCTTCAGATTTAAAAATCTTCTAGTTTAATGCATATAAAGAAAAACGAATGAGCCTTACAGTAGTCGCATATGATGTCAACATTTGTCATCTCACCTTAGTAATAAGCAATTTTAATAAGTATTCTCAAACCTCCACCGTGTGCGCTCATTCATCGAATCAAATAGCGCGCGCTTTCCCGACTTCCTGATACACACTTCCGCCCCATTTCACGAAATCACTCCTCACAAATGCAAGAAAGCGATAGGAAAGATTTTACACATCAATAACTCTTTTCACTTATGATTTTTGATGTCATCTTTCAATTGACGACACTGTATGAAACAAAACAGGGAGAAAAAAATAGCCCTTGCTGAGTTTCTTGCCGGTTCTTCTCAGTATAAGGTCTCCCGCTGTAGATTTATGAACCGATGGCGTAGCGTTTGACTTTCATAAGAGCTTGTAACAGCGTAGACTGTTGTAATGAGTTTGAGTTTATTTCAGATTACCCCTTCGGAATTCGTCTAGCGCGGCGCGTAGACGGCCGTCGCCTAGCAACCTTCAATGCTCGCAACGAGCACGACCGATGCAAATTCGCCGAAGATCTGCGCGAGAGCATCGCGGAGATGGACGAAATGGATGCCATGAGGATTGAAGGGGAACTGAACAGGGGCAAGGGGCGAGGCGGGGGGAACAATCGGAACGGTGAGTGGATGACAAACTTGCTGATAACTTATAGGGTAATAATTTAAGGGGGGATTCCGGATCAAAGTTTATAAATCAGAAAGAGAAATAACCAATGGATTGAACGAAGAACTAAGGAATGTGAGCATTGAAACTTGCTAGTAAACTCTCAGATATTTATGTCAGGTAGAGGGAGAATGAACCGAACCAGATAAGGATGAAGGAACTGTGACCATTGCAATTTGCTGGTAAACTTATTATTAGACACTTATTAGATAGGAACGGTGAATGGCTGACACACACTGTTGCTGTTATCTTATTGGTCAGATAGAAGGAGAACTATCGGAAGGCGCGAAGGATATAGGAACGGTGAGTATCGCAACTTACTGATAGGAAACTATCAGGTACTTATCTGAGAGATAGTGGGAGAATATATGGCAGGAGTGAACAATTATAAGAAAGATGGGTAGCGTAACTTGTTGGCTGAATAGACTAATACGCCGAATATCTGCGCAAGAGCATCTCCAAGGGGAACTCACACGGGCAATAATAAGAACGGTGAGTTGCTGCCGAACTGATAAATTTATGAAGTATTTATCAGATAGGAGGAGAAGTAAACAATAAATCTGTCAGGAGAATCAACGGACTCCCTAAGTGTTTAGGATCAGGCGAGGTAAGTATTATATGTTACTGGTGAATTGTTTGATATTTATCAGCCAGATAGTGAGAGGTTCAGCAGCGGCGAGGGAAGAGACGAAAGCAGCAATATATCGGGAAATATTTCAAAGATCTTCAAAAAATAACAAATTATCTCCTAAAAATGCTATTGCAAACCTAAACGTAGGGTTAGGTTACCATTTTTTTCAATAACACCAATTAGCCTAGTCCCACAGTTAGCACTGTAGGCTTGTGTTATGGGATACTAGGGGTCCCCCTAGTATCCCATAACACAAGCTAGAATGCATATACTGATACCTTTATGAGTATAGTTATATAGAAATGAATATTAAACATCCACAAATATCTGCCCCCACTGGGATTCACACCCCTCTCGAGTAGGCGTCACCTTGAAAACCTCTCGGCCACGCGGAGGTCGTCAAATTCGTCGTCGAATTGGTATTTTTTAGAGGATTAATTATTCCTTTTTGATGATCATTCAAATATGTGCCTAATATAAATAATAAACAATATATTTAATTTTAGCCTAACAGAATCTTATATACTAGATTTTATTAGGATCAAAGGTGATTTCGACAGTTGCAAGGGATGAGTTTAAGGAAACAATAGAAACTGTATGTTGCTATTGATAACCTATAATGAACTTATCTGTCAAATTGCGTGAGAGTAACATAGGTAAGGCGAAGTTGCAGGGAATAATATGAAGTTTTACAACGCGCCGGTAAAGTAACTGATGATGTAAATATTAGATTAGTTTTTATTACACCCCTTCTTTTCTCCTTCTTATTTATCTTTCTATTATGGGTTGCCTGGAAGAGATTGCTGCCTAGCAATAAGGCCGCCTATATTGTGTACGTTCTGTCTTTCATGTTTTTTTTAATTGTGTCTCTTGTATGGTGTATTACAATAAAGATTATTAGAATTATTAGATTCATTCGAGTTATTTTTTTGTTTGTCAACAGTCATGGAGAATCGCGACAGTGGAGTAGCCGATGTGGAGATTGACCACCAACAGTGCATGGACCACGTGCACGTTCATGGGTAAGAAGACTGTAATGTTATTGGAATAAGGTAGAAATTTCTTCATTTGTGTCACCAAGCAGACTCAACAATGTATGAGTTGTCGTGGGACGTCTGGCAGGTTTGACACCTGCCAGACGACATGTAAATTTATTGTTTAAAAGGCAGTAAAAAAAGAGAAATAAATATGTCAAAAAAAAAATTTTTTTCTTTGTCAACCAATATTTTTTTCCTGTTTGAGCGGCAAATGGCTTTCCTTTCTTAATAGCAAAATAAGTCAATTAACTTTTAAGTTTGGAGCTTTTTTTGCGATGACAATAGAAGGAGATTATACGTGATTTGAATGAAGCATTAATTCTACGTCTTCAGTACGGCAGTTAGAACTTAAAACATGTATATTTTATGAACTTGTTAATGATGTTCTGTAGTATTGTGTTACTGTCGGTGAGTACGGTTCTGGGGCTTCACGGGGAAGAGGATGGAATGGAGCTTTGGAATCGTAAGCGTATAGGCTATGGTAGCCGCTTACCATAGGGCGGGTCATTATGCTTGTTTGGTGCCAACATTCTAATGTAATTCTAATATTTCCAACACTCACACCAATTAGCCTAGCCCCAAAGTAAGCACTGTAAGGCTTGTGTTATGAAATGCTAGGGTAACGGATAGAATACATATACAGTGCATATATAAGTATATTTCTATAGAATTACATATTAAACATCCATGACTAGAGTATAAATGCTTGTATTCATCACACAAACATCTGCCCCCACCGGGATTCGAACCCGGGACCTCTCGAGTCGGCGACACCATGAAACGCGGCGTACAAACCACTCGGCCACGGAGGTCGTCAAATATCAACGTCAACCCTTTTAACATATAAAATGACCGTATCCGTTTGTTCATCAGCGTGGTAGTGCCACCACCACCATCCGGTCCGGCTCCATCGGCACCATCTCGTTTACCACACAATCCACCACCAACCACCATTATCAAGAGAAACGTGCTTTCCAACTCGCTCGTCGACATCAACGACCCAGGTGAGACTTCAATATTATCGTATCTATACACATAATAAAAATGGTAGGAAAGTCGAAACTGTACATTGAATATTTTTTTTAGAATACTTAGGGTGTGATCTACAATCGATACTGAAGCCTAAAATATAGTTTTTAAGAATTTTTGTCTGTTTGTCTGTATGTATGTCCAGGATAAACTTAAAAAGTACTGCATGGATTTACTTAAAATTTGGCACGAATATTATTAGGAAGTAGGGTCAACATATAGGCTACATATTATCACGCTATCACCTACGGGGAACGAGCAGTGAACCTTTATTTCCAACTAAATCCACGCGTACGAAGTCGCGGGCGGCCGCTAGTTTACAATAAAGTTGATACTTGTTTGATAACAATTTCCTATCATCCCAAATCGTTAATCAACATGGTTGAGACCTGGAAGGGAGTGGCTATAGCAATACTTTACTGTTCAAATTGTTCTGGTAATTTTTGCAAGGAGATAGAAGTATAAGTGCTGTAGTTTTAGCATTGGCATTTACTTAGACAAACTGGAAAGCTACTGGTCGAGACTGTGTTGTTCTATCTCATAATAATGTAGCATCCTTTGTTGCACTATTAAGTGAGTTTATTTGAGACTCGCCTTAGATTGAATAACGTAAAGCAAACAGAACCTTAAGAGTTTGAGTAAGTAATGTTATTATGACGACGCATTATGGCACGGTCGATGTCACTTACAGAAAATAGCTTAGTTTACTAACCAGAAAAAGATTTAATTGCAGTTTAGTAAAGAAATAACAAGGATTGAACTACGCAAAAGATAGGTAACTAACTGCGTTACACGAAAAGGGGAGCTATCATTGGTCGGAATAATAACAATACGAAACAACCCGGCCAATAGCAGAAAGCTCAGTTTTCATCGATGCTACCTCATTTCCCTCTAAATAATATTGTCGTCGTCACTTACATTAAATATTAATAATAAAAAAAAATAAAAAAAAATATATAATTTAAAAGGTAATAAAAAAACATAATTTTGTTTATTTATTTTTCCCGGTCACCACAATACAGGCATGTCCTAGTGTGAAAGCCATAGGTAACTCTATTATAAATAATTTCAATGTTGTAAACTTTAAATTGTATAATAATATCATTGTAAAACTTTATTTTTCAATAGATTATTATTATTATTACTTAAAAATGTTAATTGTTCCATATCCAGTGGCATTAGCGGCTGAGCGTCTTCAACGGCGAGGGTCCGTGGGTTCCCTGGATAGCGGCATGTCGGTATCCTTCCAGCAGGGCAGCAGGAATGCACTCCATGCCACTTCACCTCGCCATCCGGGCGAACAGAGGTCACCTGGTGAGTTGATAAGTCCTATAATAACAATTTAGGAGTTGGCGAACAAAAGGGTATAATTACATCAAATTAAATTTTACAGGAGCTGTATAAAACTGAATTACATACCTATAATGAGCTTTTGGCGTGATTTTTAATTTAGTAATTTTAACACTATTTTAGGCGGTTTTGATTGACATGAGTTGAAATTCAAATTTAGCTGGCCCAAAACTTTCGGGCTGTAAAAATAAAGTATTATATGGTCAAAACCATATGCACAATTATACCGTTTTGTTCGCCAGCTCCTCAATTATTCAAGACTTTGAAGGGTACACCCTTAACACGAACCATTATCGAATTCGAATAGTTGAATTCGATCTAGATGTACACCAAATGTGTAGTGATTTTTAGTTCTTGTTACGTCCGTTGTGGCGCTGCTATTCAAGTTTTGATACAAAATTTGACATTGACATTTCGCACTCGCAAACTATTCGAATTCGATAATGGTTCGTGCTCAGGGTACCGGTGGAGCCGAGTCTAGCTTCTAGCTGAGAAGCAATAATAGTTTGAATTGAATAATAAAGATGGTGGAAATTTTAATATGCAATTGAGAGTAAGTGGATGCAACCTACGGAACAACGTGGAATATCTATATTTTGGATAAAATAATAAAAACCTGTCGTCATCTACAAACACATCAATTACAGTACAGTTGTATTATTATTCAGAAAAAAGTGAAATACTGCAAACTAATGACCCACCAGTATCAGACAGTAACCGTCGAATGCAGATTTTTATCTTGTCATACTTATATATTGTTTTGTAACAAAAATCATTAGAACCGAACATGATTTTAATAAAATGTACGGTAATACATTTACTCACTTTCTGGATTAACTATTGAAAGAAATCAATACACATGTACCCATTTAGTGTTCTTAAATTACAAAAATAACTTTATTTTTATTGTTTATTTAACAGGTCGCCTCTTTGGAGGAATATTTCCCGGACGGCAACGCAAACTGAGCGCGTCCGGTGTTCCGGACACGAAACACGGACAAGTTGGCAAGAGCACGGAAGTATAAATTGGATACTTTATAGGAGACACCAATGAACATGATCGTCGGACGCGATTTCCAATGTAAAAGGATCTCAAGGATCATACATATTTACATTTACAGTATATAAAAATTGACAGGTTGCTTTGCAACTAAAGTAATAACGACGGGTTATATCAGAGAAAATGAACAACCAAAGTTGTTCTAAAGTATGTTATTTCACGCTAACGATTGTCGCAATTATGACTCCTAATGCGAAAGTATAAGGTTCAAAATACCCAAAGTGTTTAAGTGGGTGACAGTTTGGTGTTACATTACATAGACATTTTCGAGCTGGTTTCGAAAACTGTAACGAATAATAAATTATTATAAATGGACATTAAAATTTTCCTTAAAAAAAGGAAAAGATCTGTTTTTCAATATCAGAAGATTAGCGTTAAAATGCCATTCTTAAAAGAGGATTCTCTATTGTCTTCCGATTTAGAGAAAAAGACTTAAAATACTTAAAAATATTCAAACATTTTAATTGTGTTTTTTATGAGTAATTTATTAGATCATTTTCTCCTTTGAAAATGGCATTACTGTAACTAGTAAATTTGCACTGTGCCATCTGTGGATATTAGGCGAAAAGAAATCTAATTATATTATGTTAAAGTGCCAACTATAAAGCATTTTTGGTACTTAGGTACATTGTAGTTACTAATAGCGTAACTTCACATTTTCTAATTAATTATGCACGGTAATTAACCATAACCATGAAACAAGGAAAGTCCTTAAAGTCGATGCTAAACATCCGTAAACGCATTTTTAATAGTTTACAACTCGAATAAATCATTTTGTGCTCCCACACATAACTGCGAATTCGCATCGCATCGCAAATATCTGTGCGTTCGCACGAATGCACCGCAAGAACTTACGATCTGATTCACATTGCATATTTCTGAGATATAACTTTACACTTGGTGACGCCATTTTAGTCAGCTCTGAGACTGTACGATCGTTTTTGTGGATACGGTGATAATAAACTCAAAAGCTCTTTAATTGAAGACATGCTCATTCTAAAATAATCAAAAAAAAATCTATTTCTGTTCTCAAACCATAATATTTTCAGCAGCATCAGCGTTCATAATCGTTATAAATGGATGAACCCAAAATCTTATTTTTCTTCTATATCTATTTTACAATAACAGCAGTGCAACATTTTTTTTGCGTTCCATGTCACTATTACTAAAACATGTCCAATACGGCTGACTACCGTTGAAGGCATGGTCATCCTAACCAAAGCTTTGCTTAACGAATTCGCATCCTGCGATGCGACGTCGCATCGCATCGGGTCGCAGTTTTGTGTGGGAGCCCTTTGGTGCTTATTTTAAAACAAAAAAGGGTGGTATTATTTATTTATCGAATTACAAATGTTATTCGAGTAATGTAAACAAAACAATGCTTATTTTAGACAAGTTTCTTCTTCTTTTAATAACAAGGTCATTGTTTAAGAAAATTAATTGTGTACTCTCATAGTATATACGGTAGAACATACAGTGCTAAAACTATTACCCTTCATTGTTTTTTGTAGTCGGGTGAAAAAATACCGTATCTTACCTCACAGGACCCAGTATTTATTTAGGTTTTTTATCTCATTAACCAGATTTTCATATTTAGTATATGAAGAACATTTTCTAAAAGTTCAGTGTAGCAGAGTTGTAGGAATACTTCCCAATGGGTTGAAACTTCGTTTGCGTACGTTTAGGGTAAACCCTAACTAGCTCAATCGAAAACATTTTGATAAGGAAATACTGTGCAATATAAAATGAATGAACTGCATTTAACAAAAATAAACGACTAACAAAAGACCTTTAATAGGACAAAACTTGGTGATTAAATTTGTTTTTTTGAAGTGGTGGGATTATGGTCTTTGTGACGTAAACGAAAACATTGGGTCCACGTTTTTTGGAAGTAGAGTTATTGTAAGGGTCGGTTTTTGTAGATGGCAACACTAACTTTGATAGTATCCTTAACCATGTGCACTACGCGGGCAAGGTATTGTCGATCGGAAAGGAAATAAGGGTCTTTTATGAGAGATAAATTGAGAGAGATGTTTTATCGATCGTTCGATAGTTAAGTACGCAAGCTAAAGACGCGACACTTAATATAATATTTCATTCCACGTTACCAGAAACCACAAAGTATTAAAAATTACTTTATATACATGCATAACTATATATTACTTAAAAAAAGAAAGATTTTAAATTATTAATAATAAAGAATTTTCTCTTAGATTTCATGATAAATTATTTTTTTCTTAGAATAATTGTACATACGTTTGGTTTAGATTGCAATAGGGTATTAGGTATCACGTTATAAAGCACTGTCGAGCAATACCTACATAAATGTCGACACATAGTTACATCACAGCAATGTAGGCTATAAATTTATTACGAAAAAAAATATATAAAATAATAATACGAATTTATTCACTATTGTTGATGAATTTTATTAGCTTTATAGGCGATTTGAGAACATTTTTGAAATAGACTAATTACATTACCCTTGACTTTTTTAATGTTCTTTGTCTAGTCGACAGATTAATAGAATTCTGTCGTATGTCCATGTCAAATGTTATTATATAAAAGAAATACCTAAATCTTCCTTAAAATGAGTATAATTGTTGCCATTCAACTCGTTAAAATTAAAAATTTCGACTGCATTTGTAAGTCGATAGGTACTCCTTTAAAATATTTATATTTCATACATAATATAAAAAGTCTGATTTTACTCTTTGACTTTACTACTTAACGTTACCTTGAGGGTAACGCGACTTTATGCGTTACCCAACTTACCCTCCTTGGATTTACCATAACGTATACCTAATTAGTTTTAAGTAAATAAATGACTCCGGGCCGGTCTTTTTGAAATGCAATGCTTTGATATTTATTTCATGGCATAAACTATGACTTACTTAAATAATGATTTGAAAAGGTTTTTAGAGCTTAAATGTTTTCTGATAAAATTCAAATTTATGTAACTCAAGATTATAAAATTAGACTGGCACAAAATAAAATTGCTGCAAAAGAATAAATCTTTTGTTTCCAATAATGTAATGCTATTATAATGAATTTTATAAGTATCCTTTTTTAACTATAGAAAATGAGATATTTATCCTTTTCAATGTATGTACTCTATTTGTTCCGTAAGATTAGGATGAAAAAGAAAAATGTACTTTAATAGACCGGCCAAAGATTGAAAATATAATGTTGACTAATTAAAAGTAGCTAACCACTGTTAACTAACTGTATTTAAGCTTGTTGATTGTACTGTTTGATACGTGGGTAGTTAGAGAATTAAACTGACTTCTTGTCTTCGGGCAATGCGTTCTAATCGCGAGCGGGATCTTTGCTTTTTTATAATATTATAAAATTTGCTATCAAATTGTATAACGGAAAACATACTTTTCTACGTCTTAGAGAATACTTATTACTACTTAAATTTTATACTATACTTCAAATGTTTTGTTTCTTCATGTGTATGTATTCTTTGTCATTTTCTATTGTCTTTTTCGCGTTATTTTTGAATGTCAAAAGCTTTTTTTATTTCAAAATTTTAATTATGTTATTCTTTTAAAGAAATTGTCTTAAGACTACTATTTATCTGTAAATTATATCGCCGTAATGGACAGTTTCTTTGTCCAAAACTGTTCTGTATTGAATCTCCTTTTGATATATCGTTAATGATTTCATGATTATAATTATTTATAAGTATATTACTTAGCAGCAATTAATTTTGGACTTTGTGTACGGAAACGGAAATGTCTCGGAGTTTATTTCAGACGCACATTATATAGCCTGTATCACATTACTGTGTATACAGGATGTTTTTTAATATAAAAAAGTCCTTCAGTACAATATTATTTATAGTTGCTTTATCGAAAACGATGCTGTCCTCGAGACTTAACTTTCCAAACATTTTTTATAGTTAATTGGAATGCATTGATTTTTTGTTCTTAGAAGTCTTTTTCTTTTTTTTCTTCGCGTAGATAATGTATGCAAGAATGCGCGTTTTTTTTTGAAAATTAGCTCTAATAAATATTGTAATGCATGACAAATGTAAAGGAATTGATTCTTGGTTGGAGTTTAAAGTCAGGGCCCACTTAGGTCGGGGTTAACCTAGATGAAGGTACATAGATACAGGCTGATATGGTAGTAAGATAGCGTTGACACACAAGGCATATTATATATAGGGGTAATTGGTTACTTAAGAGGTGATTCATGGGTTGGGTTATACTAAAGGTGGTGGAAAATGAAACAGCAGTGAAATAGGAACTTTCATAGTTTCAACAGTATATTTGTAATCTTAATTGCAAGTAAAATTGGCGGTTACCTTTACTTTAACTAATCGCCTGTTATTAGGGTAATACTTTGATTACCAATAAAAACAAAAATAGGATTCCCACGAGATTTTAAAACCGAATCCTAGAGGTTTACCAAAATATTATTTCAATCAACAAAAATTTAATTCTATAGTACCTCGAAAGTGGAATAATTTTACATCAGGGAGCACCCCGTATCTAAGGCTGGCGTTGACTAATAAACTCAACATTTAATTATTGTAGATTATGATATATAATAAAAAATAATGTATCTAAGATTGGTAGAGTAACTATTTCGGACTTTAACATCTAAACCTTAAACTTGAATTTTTCATAACAATGTTTTAATGCAGTTTCTTTTGTCTACACAAATATCATATTGTTGATGATTTTTCCGAAATAGATAAAACTCGTATATCGATCTGGGGCACTACCAAGAACTGTTATCGCAACGCATTTTAAGTGTTAGAGAAAGACAACGCTATACGTCCAAGTGTATGGCGTCATCTAGCATCGAGCGCTTATTTAGGATAGCTTTAAGAGTTAATGGTACAGCTCCTTTAGTAGTTTCTTTTACAAAGAAACTTCAATATACTTTGTGTACGTATTTCAAGCGAAATGCGTTCTTATTCCCAGAGGTATAAAACTTAATATGAGTATTGTTTTGTGATAATGGCGTGTTTTATTTTAAAGTTTGTAGAAATGTTTGGTTTTTCTTTTAATGCAGGGGCTTGTATTACCATTATATATTAACATCAAAATTATTTTGAATGAGTTAACTAGAATGTAATATTCTAATTTATCACAATCTTAAAGTTTATATAACAAAGCTATCTTTTGTAATAAAATTGATAAACATGATTTGTAATGCCCCAGCGTTATTGAAATATAGTACTGTATTAATACATATTACTTTTTTTGAAATACGCCTATTAATAATTGTACGTGTGAGTTGATTGAATAAATTGCTTTTGTATATTTCGCTTGAAGCCAAAGATGTATAATTTTGTGTTCAATATGATGATCACCATGACGTCGATAGCCTTCTATGTAAATCGAAGCTTTGATTTTGAAATATAGCGGTTTCATAACGTTTATAAAATATTATTCGTAAATTCTTAAACTAACTCTATATTTTGAACTTTGTTTGTGCCTACAAAATGGTGTTTATTTTTTGCAAACTTTCTCGCAAGCGCAGGCGAACTACATATAACATATAAATTAAACGAAATTAATGCAAAACATAGTCATAATGTGACGTGAATGAAGGTAGCACTTCAATATAGCTGGCACTGGAAGCAATAAATAATTAATCTATTTCAAAGTAAAAAGTTAAAAAGTAAAGCACGCTATTAAGATCGTTGAAAAATCTAAGTGTAGTAACAAATGGAATGCTTCAACATGCAAGTAGTAGCAATTAACAGTGCAAATGAAAGATTGTCTGTGGTTATTTGGTGCGCACTTCACATATTTATAGGAGAAAATCACGAATATAACGCCATTTTGTAGTCTCAGACAAAAAATATTGTGTGAAGTGAAGGTACTATTTCCATGTCATTTTAAGTTAATTCGGAGGGATTTAGTTTTCTGTAACATAAAAACTTTACTAACTTATTCTTAACTTGTATGTATATTGAAGAGTACATTTCTAATATATATTATTATTATATCCTTTAGTTACATAATTGTTATATAGAATTTAGTGTAAGCAATAAACGCATGATACGCGTAACTTTATATGTTGTATAATATTATGATAACATTGTTGAGAGTTGGTACACCTAAGTCACTTACGATAGTTTTATTTAATTGAATATAAATAAAAACAATGAAAATGTATTTATTTATTAAATATGAATTAACATTCATGATGAACTCGGGTTGTTTCATTTGGAAAATACTCTTATAAATGTAACCTTTTTTGTGTTTTGCAACAAACTTGGAAGGGGTATCAAAATAACGATTTATTACGGAGAAGATTTAGTTAAAAGGTCTCGGATGCTGGTTAAATCATCATCCCTATTAATACAGGCGACTGAAATCACAAGCAAAAAGTCGTCTGAAGTCGAAGCGCATGGAAGCGAATTTCAGAAACGTAACAAAGAAAATTCACCATTATCTCCGCAACATAATGTACATATTCCTTCTGAAATTAAAACATTCGACCGAGTTCCTCTGATTAGCAGCTTTTAAGGAATATGTGCATTACGTTGCGGAGATAAGGGTGAATTTGCTATGTTACTGTTTCCGAAATGCGCTTCGATGCGCCTTGACTCTGCGCTACTATGAATTGGGCATTAGAGTGCCATGGAAAGCGCCTGCTATTGGAAATCGACATGGCATAGCAACAAGGATGCGATTCAAAAGGAAGTAGCCACAGCGATATCTTACCATGTAAATCGTTCTGGCAATTTTTGTGCACGGGGAAACATGCACACAACTGATAATACATAAATAAATTACAAAAGTGTAATTACGACTTCTTTAAAAAATAAAGACAATACATTACTTAAATAAACAAATACAACACTGTAGTAACAACTTCCATGAAAAACAAAGACAATACATCGCAATCAAATCGTTGGGCTTAACAGCTAACTTATCACAATATTCTAAGTAAAAATTGTGACATATATCAGTACCCCTAGCACGAACCAATATCGAATTCGAATAGTTTGCGAGTCCGAAATGTCTTTTTCAAATGTGTACTGATTTTTAGTTCTCGTTACGTACTTTGTGGCGCTGCTGATCAAGTTTCCATGCAAAATTTGACATTGACTCGCAAACTATTCGAATTCGATAATGGTTCGTGCTATAAGGGGTACAGTTTTGAGGTATTTACACATATAAGTAGCGTCAAACTTCTTGTGCAAATAAACAGATAAATAAACTAGCGCAGTAGATGTTTTTGTCTTTGGTCGATGCTCAAGAAGATTGTCAGGGTGTATATTTGTCAACTTTGGAGTCCCACAGGGTAATATTCTTGGTCCGATTCTCTTTCTTGTAAACATTAACGAGCTGTGTCAACATTTATTTACAAATGGCAAAAAATGCTGACGACAGGGATTTGATATTTCAAGGCGAGGTTCAGTTATCTAGCTGAAGAAGAGCTTCATAAAGTTGGATCCTGGCTGAGAGCAAATTTCCTAAGTATAGGCAAGTAAAAAAATAAAAAATCATTTATTCAGTCTAAACTGTTACAAGTTCTTGTGAAGGTCGATTAGCTACATCATTAGCGCTACGGTCCGCAAATCCACGGCTGGAGACCTTGTTTGTACTGAGCAGAACCGGCAAGAAAACTCAGCAAGTGCTTTTTTTTCTTCCTGTATTATTGCCTGGTGACCTGTTAGTACAGGTAGCTATTCGTAGTTGCCTTTTACGGGCACCAGTCTCCCACATAATAGGTTTATGTATTTGTATTGATTAAGTTAGTTACCTATTGTACTCTTACACCTTTAGTGAGGAGAAAATAAATGGTATATTATTATTATTTATTATACCTAAATGCCTCTAAATCATCTTATCTAGAAACACTCCTAGGTATTTAATTTGATAAGTTTTTTCACGTGAGAGACACAAACAATCAGTGTCATTCGGAGAATCGCTAGAGTGACAGTTTAAATTATCTAGATTTAGCTTATTAAACCAACAAATGGAATTGCAATTTTATGGTTTTCGCAATAATTTGACTGAAAAATCGGGAGGTTCATTTCTAAATTGCAGTAATGTACTAGTGCACTGTTTAATATCGTTCCCCAAGATCTGATTAAGCTTCCTCTGACCAAAATCTCATTAATACTCTTCTTGAGATTAAGGTTTATTATAAACTTGATGATTAATTTAATGATTGTAATGCATGTACCTATATTATATGGACTTTTTTGTTATTTGTAATGAAATGGGTATTAGACATTTTTCATAACAATACTTGATATCTGAAACTGCTTCCTATTCTCAAAATGTATACGTATGTATGTAGTCTCACTTGTTGTATTTATTGTATGTCCTGGATTATGTAATGTAAGGTGACTCCTTAAATTATCCGTGAAGCTATTTTTAAATTGAGGACAGTTTATAATAATACAGGGAGAAAAAACAGAACTTGCTTAGTTTCTTGCCGGTTCTTCTCAGTACATACAAGGTCTCCCGCCGTAGATTTGCGAAAATAATCGGAATGGATAGGTTAATAATTGAGCAACTTTTGTCGTATAATTTTTTTCCTGATACTCAATACTTTTCGACTCATTCGACGGTGGACACGTAAACTTTTCAACTTTAGAAACCACGTTTTCAGTCGGATTTTCACCAATAACTCTGTATATAATAGACCTCGGCTAATGCCATTGAAAATCGTAAAAAGTGAAAAATATTTGAAACAGGACTAAACCCATATCAAAAAGAAGAAAACACATTAAAAAAGCGGCAAAGTGCGAGTCGGACTCGCCCATGAAAGGTTCCGTAGCAGCAAGTAACATTAAATGTTTTGTCTTATATTTGAGTTGATTAAATGAAAGGTATTTTGACGTATTAAAAACTAGTAGTACTTAGTAGATCTCATTCAAATAAATTTTCGGTTGAAGTTTGCATGGTAAGGTCGTTTGCGCGGATTAGTGGGTGATAATGGACCCAGTGCGGACTGGAGGGTGATAACGGACCCAGCTCGGGTTGGTGGGTGACAGTGGACCCCAGACTTTGTCCAGACTTGTCGGATGTAGATACAATAGTGGAAACGTGTGGAACATCGTTCTACTTTAACCAATACCTGACTGGACGGACATGGTTATCACCGCACGTACCTTCATAGATTTAAGATAACTCCGACCGATTTGTGTCCCTGCAATGACGAATCCACACAGATTGGAGATCACCTTATACACCACTGCGACAGATTCAATTCTAGATGCGAAGAACATATTATATATATATATATTTATATCTGCGAAACACTCAAGGTCTCCCCATTTGACTTGATGGAGGTGACTAAAAAAGAAATATCAAAACTATCTTTTATTAAATTCATTACACATATTTCCAGTAACCTTAAAAATTTCAATAAATAATAATTCTATCTGATAACATTAAATAAAGTACAATTAGAAAACATAACAGCGAAACACAAAACATTTAGCAATAAAAACTTGGTCTGTTTCAAATCGCAGACTATCAAACAAAACAGCTGAATCAAATACTTGATAAAAAAATGGACCCAGTGTGGATTGTTGGGTGATAAAGGACCCAGCGCGAATTGGTGGGTGATAACGGACCCAGTGTGGATTGGTGGATGATATCGGAACCATCACGGCTTGGCAGGTGATAACGGACCCAGCGCGGATTGGAGAGTGATAATGGACGCAGTGCGGATTGGAGGGTGATAACGGACCCAGTGCGGATTGATGGATGATAACGAACCCAGCGCGGATTGGTGGGTGATAACGGACCCAGCGCGGATTGGTGGTTTTTTTTCTATCAACAAATCATAAACTTAATGATTTCTCGGATCATTGGAGCTAAAGAAGTTTCACTTCAGTCGTGTGGTCATAAGCACACACGTTTTTTTTGATTATTAACCGTTTTTGCGTCCGCTTTTCCACTTTCATGACCCTCTCCAAAGGTTATTTAGGTATATCAACTGCGTAATGTTTTTACTGCGGTCATTTTACAGCCATCAGGTTGTCCGCTGACCAAGCCGCGCGCGGCGTGACAGAGCGCAGCACTTGCGGGGCGTCTCTTTAAGCCGCGCTTAACATGCCATAGCTACCTATACTATGCTGTGCCGTAATAGTAAACGTCATGAGTTTTCTAGGCGGCGAGCACAAGGACGCAGTGGAGTGGTGCGTGCTGTTAAAATTTATTTTGATCTGCGGTAAGTCGATTTGTTTAGTGCGAAAGTTTTATAAAGAATGTTGCCTAAGTTTTAGGATAATAGTAATTACTGTTTTATGATGACTGTCTATAAAAATATTTTGTTTATTCTAACTGTGATCTGTAATGTAAATAAATAAATTGTGTTGTAATTTCGTATTATGAACAAATTTTTCAATCAAATCTCATTTATAATAAGCGGCCTGCATTCCATTAGCTCTTCTTAGAAAGCATAAACATAGAGTTTAAGTAAAAGTGTTATGCAAATACTTTAATGTAATACCGTCCTGACACTTTCAATTATTTTCCTGGACACGGATATCATCATGCTAATGTATTTACCTACCTTTTTTTTGTGTCTGGAAAATTCCTTACGCATCCTTCAACCACTGGGGGAGCGAGAAGAAGGTATGTGGGACTCATCCCTGTCCTCTTCAGCCAGCCCTGGAGCTCGCTGATGTGAACACGGCCCTACCTACGCCCTGAACAGGGCCACTAAAAACCAGACAATACTCCTGCACCGTCACCCGACACGCACTATGAGGACCGCGGTCCCCCTAGTGCGTGCCAAGACGGCGGGTGTGGTCGCGGAACCCGTCTCCGAATGGCCGCGCATGTATTTACCTACCTACCTACACATAGAAGTACACGTGTCACGTATGTTAGTTCATATACACGTAGTTTATTTATACACAGGCACAGACTGTGCTGCTGCACTATTTGTAAAACTGTACTTCCAAGGCCCTAGAGGTGATACTTGATTTATTTTTGTAGAAACGGTTCGCTTTGCTCGCTCGGCTCACGCGTTCTGATCACAACAATAACCTAACCTAACCTAGTGTGAAGTATCACAACTTGGGCCCTAGAAGTACAGTTTAGCCGCACCATTTCCTGTCATAACTAACGGGTGATACATTAAACGTATCGTATAGTAACATTATTGTTCAATCAAATGAATTGCCATCCGCAATACTAAAAACAATATGAAGGACAAAACCTTCTTAATGTGCCTGTAAAATCAGGGATAGTGTTGAATACATTTAACAAAAAAAGACCGTGTGAGCGACTCTATACATTATCTGTTCCTACGCGGACAGCGGTCTCGCAGGTAAGTACTCGGTTCAGTACTACTAACCACGTGACAATAGATACATCCTTCCACGATTTAATGATTTTCCTTTTTTCCACTATTTAAGATATTGTGAGTGAAATTTTTAATATTTATAGGTAAGAACGGTTTTATTTTTTATTATTTGTATACTTATATATTTATAACATAATTTAGTTTCTATACAGATAATGCTATGCTTAGTTTGACACTAAGAAATTGTCATCATAAATTATATTGCAGTTGTTTTATTAAAATTTTGTAAATTATCTGCTTATAATCTGTAG